AAATGCTCCCAAAAATGGCTCCACAGCATGTAAACATATAATATAAGCTCTGGCGGACTTGGTTCTATGGTAGGTCTTAAAGGGTTAATGATTCAAGTTCAAGTAATAATTATATCCCCTAACAATTCATTTCCATAATCTTGTTGACAAAACAATGTTGGGATTTAATGAAAAATGCCCAAAGACATCTGCAAATGTATAAACCAAAGGGAAACAAAAGAAATATTATGGAGTAAAATTTATAAACAACACTTTGCTGATGCCACCTTGCAGCCTTTTATATCAGGAAAGTGAACTTGTATACTTGTATATGATTGATGGCTCATGAAGGGAAACCAAAGCCTTAGGCTAGATGCTTATCTCCGACTTAGCTAGGCTAATCAGTCGCTACAGGTAGGAGTGAAAGAATCTTAATATTATAAATGAAATCATAATTTAAAACTACATTTTATATTTACTGAGTTTATTTTTGTTTAATATAAAAATTTGATTGATGATTTGTAACATTTAAGTGAGAGAAAAAGGCAAAAAAGCTAATTAATAAAGAAGGTGGGATTTTTTTTTCACAGCACTGATATAAGAAAGCAAAATTTATTTATATAGTGCTTTTCAAGTTTATTTTATAGTGCTTTTCAAGAATAGTATAAATTGCTTCACAATGTCAGACAGTAGAGCATTAAAACAGCATAAAAGGATAAAACCAAATAAAAGCACGTTTGCACAGGTGGGTCTTTACCTTCCTTTTAAAGGTATCAGCAGTGTCAACAGATCTTTAGTCTAGTGGAAGTGAGTTCCACAACATGGCAGCGAAAACCTCCTTTTATCCTCGACTTGGACTGAGGTACAACCAAGAAGCATTGATCAACTTACATCAGAGACCTAGCAGTTATGTATGGATGTAGAAATTCACTAATATAGGGAGGCACCACAAAGAGCTTGGAAAGTGATAATCAGAATCTGAAGTTGAACTTTGTGGTGAGCCAGTTTAAAGAGGGCAGAATCAGTGTCACAAGGGACCTTTCAGAGTAACTGGTGAGAAACCTTATGGCAGCATTCTGGGCTATCCAAGGATGCGATCCAGAGATAATTTGGTCAGCGAAAGTAATAACAAATTACAATAATAACAATAAAGTGAGACAAAATACACAATTGGCTGCCATCTGGTTATTTATAAGACAAATAATTTGGTAACATTGAATGACATGTACAACTGGGCATCATCTCAAACAATGATATGAGATGTCTTCAAAGAAGACAGGCCCCAAAAATGAACCTTGGGGCGCACCACAAGATAAAATAGTAGAAGAGGACAGGAATTTAGCAGAAGCGCCTGAAAAGCTTCTGTGAGTGAGGTAAACGTACGATATGATATTGTATGATACTGATGCACTCGTTGGAATATTTCTAAAATGACAAGCTAATTTTCAAAATTTCCATTGTCAGATTAATCATCTAATAGTTTCTGTTCTGTCTGTAACCACATGCAGCTGGTTTTGTGTGCAGCACAACACTGATGAATAATTAAATGGTACACTGATTGAGTTAAAAGAAGTCCCACTTTTGTGTCTTGACAGGAAAGAGCTCCACCAAGTACGCCCAGATTGACATCACTGCCACAGAGATGGCCCACAAAGTCGGCACGCTGCACGCTCTGGGTCGGCAGGAGGGCCTGCACACTCTGGAGCTGAGAAGAAAGGGGACGCCACATTGAATTTTCCTTCACTCAAACGTTGATCTCAGCAGGATTTTCTTTCACAACAGCAGAACTACAACATCAGACTATAACGTTAGCAAGAAACGTGGCTCTGAAGGCCTTACTGTGGGATTCCTTCTCTATTCTGTTCCATCTTTTGAATACAGATATCTTTGAAAGCAACCTCAGTTTACAGAACCCAGAATCCCAGAAAAATGTATTCCGTCCAATGTCTACTTTCTTAGATCGAGACTGTAGTCACAAAGGAGCTGGAATATGGAGCTGGCTTTAGAAAGGTTTGGCTCTTAGTCATGAGATTTCACAACATTTTTTTGTGAACTCCAACATCTCGTTAAATGGCATTACGCTGCTCCTCGAGCTCCAGGCTCTCTAGAAGTTGGATGAGCAAACCCTGGGCTGAGTCAGGGGCCTCACTAATACCCCAGAGCAAAGGCACTTCACAGCTCACTCAAGCCATCACTAATTGTGTGCTGTTTTTGTCCTTGTGTGGGTAAAAAAAGAAAGGTAGGGTGTTGGCAGGAAAGAAAGTGGAAACAGTGTTTGTTCTCACAAGGAGTTCACACACATTTATTCCTCAGTAATCTGTAATTCCATATGTAGTTGCACATAACTCTTTCTGTGTTTCAAATTTAGGAAAGCTTACCAGCCGGTCTTACTCAGAGCGATGCAAAATTCAGAGTAGCTTGATGCGTAAAAAAAAAAGAGAGTTTTTGTGTAAAAGTAGCACAAGTACTGTATTTTCTGGACTATAGAGTGCACCTGTATATAAGCCGCAGATATCTTTGTTGAAAAATTAGATATTTACTGCATTTACAGAACGATTTTGTACTGTAAATGTACATGTATGTACCTGAACAGATTCTTTCAGTGCCTTTTAACAGCAGCAACTTAGCTGATTAAAACGAAACAGAAACAAAAGAAAATAACAGGTATTTATTTACCTTCATTTCTCCTGTGTTTGAAACCACAAGTCACTTTAATCATCTTCGCTAAAACCCATGAAGTCGTCTTCTTCAGTGTCGGAGTTGAACAGCCTCAGAAGCGCTTCGTCACATCTGTCTCCATCAGTCTCCATCAGTCTCGCTCTTTGTGTCACTGTCATCCTCCGATGAAGTTGGCTCTGAAGGTGCGCCGCTCTCTTCGCGTAGCAGTCCAGCCTTTTGGAACCCGTTGGTGATGGTGGATTCTTTCACAGCACTCCACGCTGTTAGGATCCACTGACAGACATCAGAAAAGGATGCTTTTCGCATGTGGCCAGTTTTTTTTTGAATGACTTCTCACCACTTGTCATCCAAGTCTCCCACTCAACCCGGAGTGCAGCTTTAAATGCCCGATTCACACTGATGTCAAGTGGCTGCAAATACTTTGTTGTAGGTTTAGGTCCAGGTTTAGGGCCTGGATGGCTTGGGGATAGAAGCTCCTCTTGAGTCTCTCTGTCCTTGCCCAGATGATGCGGGACCTTCTACCGGATTGCAGAAGTTGGAACAGTTTGTTGCCAGGATGGGACGGGTCCTTCAGTATCTGCGCTGCTCTAGTCCGGCATCTCCTGGTGTAGGTGTCCTGAAGTGGGGTGAGAGCAATCCTGCAGCAGCGTTCTGCTGTATGGATCACTCTCTGAAGAGCTTTTTGGTCCTTAACACAGCTGTTCCCAAACCGGGATGTGATGTTCTGTGTGAGGATGCTCTCCACAGCGCCTGTATAGAAAATCCAGAGGATCTCTGAAGAGACCCTGAACTTCCTCAGTTGTCGTAGGTGATACAGGCGCTGCCTAGCCTTTTTGGTCTGGACCTGAATGTGGGCAGACCATGTCAGGTCTGAGGAGATGTGGACACCGAGATACTTGAAGGACTGCACCCTTTCCACTGGAGCTCCATTGATGATAATGGGCTTGTAGTCTCTGTGCTGACTCCTTCTGAAGTCCACCACCAGCTCCTTGGTCTTGCCGACGTTCAGCTGGAGATGGTTATCCTGGCACCATGATGCCAGATGGACAGGTTTTTACGTCTCATAAATCTGAAACACCACGACGGCCCAGCTTTGAAATCTTCAATATTAATTTCGCAGATGATTGTTTTGGCTTTCAGTCGGATCTGTACAGTGAGAACACCTCGGCCACCTGCTCTCTGTGTATTCACCCAGTCCTCCAGGACATTTTCAAGTTCAGGCCACCTGCTTTTATATCCTCTGAAAGCTTTTCTCGACTTTTGGCATTGCATGAGCTCTTCCCGCTGCCGCCTCCAACGTCTCACCATAGATTCATTGACGCTAAGCTTGCGTGCAGCAGCGTGGTTTCCTTCCTGGATAGCAAGATTGATGGCCTTCAACTTAAAACTCATACAAACTTCTTTGTGTGGTTTCCACGATAAAGGGGCGAGGATTTGAAAATAATTACCAGTTGGTAATTTGTTGTGCGTGTTCTGTCTGCTAAAGAAGAAGTAGTATATTCTTCTTTGCATTGATTTTTCGTCTATCTTGTTTTTGATTCCAATTCCGGTGAGAGCGCCCCTAGCAGTGGAAGAAAAATCCACAGAATAGCCGCGCCTTTGTATAAGCCTCATGGTTCAAAACCTAGGAAAAAAGTAGCGGCTTATAGTCCAGAAAATACGGTAATGGTTCTGCATAACACTTCCACTCTATGCGTGGTGACTCTTGTTAGCCTGGCTCTAACCAATGGGAAAAAGATCAGTTGCTGCCATACATTTTCCCTCCTGCTTCCGAGTTCATATACAATTGGGTTTAATTTGGGAAAGTCTTCATAAATAATGCAAAGCTAAGAAGAATTGTTTTTGTTTTTTTGTTTTTTTTTTAAATCAGTGGCTGTTTTTGTCAAAATTATATTATAAAATGTTTTTTTTCTAATCACCTCCCTGAAGCTATTAGCATTTTTGTTATTCCATACTGTGTGTCTGTGTGTGGATATTGGCATTTTACTGCAGTATTGAAAATAGCTTGTATTTGTAGCGCTACTCATCTTGATAAAGCCAGTATTGCTTTTTTTTCATGTTCTATTCACATACCACTGTTTTGATTAGCTGTAAATATATTTTCTTTCTATTTGGGTGGACTGTCATAAAATGTGAAGGTGTTTCTGTACAGTAAGCATGTATGGAAAGGGTTCGAGGATGGCATCTGCTTCCTAAGGATCTACTTTTTTTCATGTGATACTATTTCTCTTGTAAATTATTTATGTTAACACTGCTTTGATGTGTTCTTTCTTTTTCTTTTTCTAGAACAACAGTAGATCTCATATGGCTCTCCCTCCATGTACAGCTGTAAACCTGTTGGGTACCATATTATATAAATCAGCCTTACCATTGATGTGTTTGCTTCATTCAACTGTAACACCACTGGTTTATAATGCAGATAGCACAAATAATATTAATACTGATCATCTTATTACAAACTAGCTATACATATCTAACTTTTTTTATTATCATGCTGGAAATGTTTTTTTTCTGTTAACACTGAAGACTTAGGCTTGAAAGCTGAGTCAGTAACACTAAGGGTGCAGCTTGCAGACACTCTGTAGCTCTAATTTTTACTCATTTATTACAGCAAGAAAGACGAGATGTTTTGATAATTGCTGGGCAAACTGGGAAAGTAAAACATAAGTAAACAGAGAAGTATTACATTGATAATACATTGAGCATAAATGTCCAGCTTTATGTGCAGAAAATGTGAACATGCACAAATTAATATATGGTATTATATGTCACACTGCATTGATGGACAGAGTTTCAATAATGTGAGGTGATTACGAAACGCTCCTCCATGTACAAATTTGACTTAAAAGACTTAGTAGTCTTTGCCCAGATTTGAAGTCAGTCATTAAATAATTGGAAAAAAAAAACTGCAAAGGTGCCTTTAATGATCTGACGCAGGAATATCAGCCAAAGACAGACATGATAATGGAGACTGCCCGTGTGACCTCATCATGCATTAGCTCATCTGCTTAAAGGTTCAACATGTTGTGCATTCAGAGATACTCTTGATTTTTACAAGTGGTTATTTGAGTTAGGGATCTTTTCCTATCAGCTCAAAGCAGTCTGTCCATTCTTCTCTGGTGTGTCCAACAAATTGACAGAATGTAATGTAGTCAGCAAGGGTAAGGTTATTAAACGTTTAATTTTAAGAAACTGTCTTACCGAGACCAGATATTGATTAATCTGAGTTTCAAAGTGGCAATGCTCTAAAACTCTGATGGATGCCAAACTTCGTTTGTGCCTGAAATGCAGTGTATGCATGGACTGAGCCACAGGTCCAGTGCGGGAGCATACACTAATCGTCTCCAGTCAAAACATCTATCCAGGAAAGGATCTGTGAGCTGCTTGCCATTGCAGGAGCTCTGGGAGAGAAAGTTCCCATACAGTTGCCCATTATTCTCAATCTAAGCTGCACATCAGCCTTTACAAATTTCAAATTAAAAGCTCCCTTACAGAGAGATTATCAATGGGGATTGTTCCCGCTCCACGTATTTTTAAGGTAGTCGTATCTTATCCACCAACTCTTAGTGAAAAATGATTAACAGTGACTTGTCACAGACTTGCACCCTGTTCATTAATGTCACTGAACTGGAACGGAACCATATGGTGCAGTGAAGTGTTTCATGAAAACTCATTTACCTTAATAAATTTAAATGGAGAGAGCTGTTAAATTCATAAAGCATAATGGAATGCCTCTGTGGACAAATATTGATATAAATAAATTAATGTTAATGCCATTGAGAAACTAGTGGCAACAGTTTAATGAACTATGCAAATCCACAGACAGCTTGTAATTGCAGGACCTGCTTTCAAAGAAGGAAAAGTGGTTTTAATCTCTCCCACTGTGCCTATCAACAGCGACATACACCACAGGCCTAATTCAGGACTACCATCTGTCTGCAAGAGCTGGAGACCTGGGACTCTAGATCTAGATTTGCGTGGCTTAAATTACTTGAGACTTCTCTACCTGAAGATTTCCCTTGCAATATTATGTGTAGGTGTTGACCTGAGGAAAATCAAAACTAGTATTTACACCACATGAGCCCATGAACGCCAGTCCACCATCCTGATTTTCTGAGTCCAGGAATGAGTTCATATAAAAAGGGGCTGTGCTGGCACTGGATGCTTAATCACACACGTCGGCAAGTTAGGAAGCAGACTTTTAAAACAGGTAAAAGCAACACATTTGCAGCAGCCAAAACCTGGAAGGAAAGCTGGAAGAAAATGTTCAGCTGGGCTTATCTATATCACTGCCTCAACATTAAGCCACGGGTAGATCTAAATAGAATTGTCTTCCCATTAACTTAATGTGTTGCTTAGATACTGTTCTAAGCAACTATTCCTATGGCCTCCCGGGAACATTTAACACCGTGATGGTGTTAAATGTTCCTGGGAGCACGTAAAGAACAAAAACACAGTTTAAAACATGAAATAGTCGTACTTACAAATTGTATAAAAGGTGAACTAGTAGGCTGCAAGGCTTTAGTGCTCTTTTATGTGTTGTTGTACAGAGGCCAGGTGAACAGTGAAGTAATTTTGGAATTACAGGAGCTGCAGCCTTCTAGAATAAAATGAAGCAACAATAAAGTTATTTATCCTGACAATCTGTATTCCTCATCTATCCCGGACTTTAAACCCTTCATCAAGCCAAAAGGTTTCAAATTGTCTATGAAAAAAGAAAAAGGAGCAAAATGTCCAAATGACATTCTACTGAGAAAAGACTGCATATTTTTCCTCTGGGCTTGGTTTTAAAGATCTTTAGACTTGTTTGACATGCCCCGAAAGTCATCTTTTATGCTAGACTTGAGACTCGACTTAGGACTTGCTGTAAAATCTTGAGTGGCACTTAAGACTAGACTGAAAAGTTGACACAGGAATTCAAAAAATTTACTTTTCAACTTACTTTGAGAAAACGCAAGGAAATATTTACACGTAGTTCACTACAGTTCACTGACTCAAAACCATTAGTCAGAAGCCAGGTATGACCTAAAACGTCCATTTTTACACATGCAGCCAGTTTCAAATGTAGTGGCTCTGTAGTGTAGTGGTTTACACATTTGCCTAGCAAGCAAAAGAACCCCAATTTGTTTTAAGGAGGATATATAAAGGCTATATCATTAAAACTGAACAGAACATTGAATGGAGTAGAGCTATAGAAGTGCTGATCAGTTAATCAAGTCTGTTTGATAGCACCTGACTTGTACTTAAGCTCTTAATACGGGTGACTGTGGCTCAGGGGGTGGGAAGCATATCTGTAACCGGTAGGTTGCCGGTTCGATCCCCGGGCTCTCTGTCCTGGTCATTGTGTCCTTGGGCAAGACACTTTACCCTCCCGCCTACTGGTGTTGGCCAGAGGGGCCGATGGCGCGATATGGCAGCCTCGCTTCTGTCAGTCTGCCCCAGGGCA